ACGTATATTTGCGGACCCGATTTGCGTACAGCACTCCAGCCAAGCTCAAGCCCTGGCGGATCCGGGCCAGTTGCCGCGACAGACAGCTGACTCCCTCCCTCGGTCGCTCGTTATCAAGGCAGGCGTTTAACATGTCGCTTGGGACATCTGCTTGATGTCTCATCCCTTGCAAAATGGGAAAGGTAATGATGGTAGTAATACAAGTAATGATCCTAATCTCACGTAACGGGCGACTAAATCATTGTGATGCACGACGTGGAAGTAATTTAATCTGAGCCAAAAACAGTTACGGAATACCGGATATTGTCATTAGAGAAAAAATACGTATTCTTTATACTTGTCTGATATGTCTGGAATTTGCCCGTTACATGAATATTGCAGGGTAGCGGAGAAATTGGCTATTACAGTGCGATTTCACGTTAACACATCAGCGTAAGATAATGCCACGAAGCACTTATAAATCAAAGACTAATCTATCATATTAATCTTTCGCACCAAAAACGAGATAATCGCACAGATATAATTTCTTCATAAAAAAGTAAGAAAAAAAAAGTAAAAAAAAAAAAAAAATACAACAAAAAATTACAAATGTTTCAAGACGAGCATTCGTACAAAGAGAACTCAGATAAGGGAATTAATTAATAACAAAATCAGAAGAATGGAAATGAATGAAGATGAACTGTAGAGGCCGCAGGGTGTAAATTAACAGCCGTGAGCTATTGTGCGAGACTAATGTAAACAGGAGTAGAAATCCACGAATAATATTTACGCAAGGGAAACACACCTGCTGCGAGGAAGCCGTCAGGTGGCTGCCCCCCCCCCTCCCCCCCGAAAAGAGAGAGAAAGAGAGAGAAAGAGAGAGAAAGAGAGAGAAAGAGAGAGAAGAGAGAGAGAGAGAGAGAGAGAGAGAGAGAGAGAGAGAGAGAGAGAGAGAGAGAGAGAGAGAGAGAGAGAGAGAGAGAGAGAGAGAGAGATTTCACACTTTATGGCAAAATTGTCACCACAAAATCAATTTCCTAATGTGCTCGCGGAAACATTAAGCCATTATTGCATGAGTTCTTGGAGTAAAATATACTCTGGTCTTGCTGAAGAGGCGTCAGGCAAACGGAGGCAACAAACTTACCAGTTTTCACGGCCTACCCCAGTATAATTTGGATATAGAAAACGGGAAGGAACATTTTCCTCTTTGAACACACGTACCTGCAAAGGAAAAGGAGTAGCAATTAGATATATTCGGTGTTATTATTTGATTAGTTTTATTAGAAATCTTATTAGCCTGATCACAACTAATTAATAATGAGAAATTGTTTTTGTCACTTATATCTATAACAAGCACAAACACAAACACGAACACGAACACACACACACACACACACACACACACACACACACACACACACACACACACACACACACACACACACACACACACACACACACACACACACATTTCAGTGTGATAATCGGGAGGAAAATGTGCGTGGCAAAAGAAAGAAAGAAATACAAGCGAAGGAAGACGAGGACGAGAAAAGAGCAAAGACAAAAGAAAGAGGTTAGAGAAAGAATCAAGAAACAAAACTACCAAGAAATATATTCAAGAAAGGAAGAAATTCAAACGAAAAAGGAAGACAAAAAAAAAAGCAGATGAAAACCGAACAAAGCCAAAGGAAAAGGAGACGAAAGTAAGAACGAAAATAAAGAAAAGAAAAGGAAGATATGCTAATAGAACGAAAGATACTCCAGAGGATGAAGGAAGTCTGTACATCGCAGGCCGCGTCGGGAGGGCGAAAAGGGCCGAGCAGCTATAACGGACACCCATCTGCTACGGCGACGCGGGCTCTGAGCTGGAAGTTGGTCGCTTTGAATATGCTTGTGTGTACGTGCTAATGGGGAAGGTGATCCGCTCTCGTTATGCAGAACACTTTTTGGGAGAGGGAGAGGGAGGGGGAGGGGGAGGGGGAGAGGGAAATGGTGAGGGAGAAGGAGAGAGAGGAGGGAGGGAGAGTGAAAGGGAGAGGGTGAGGAAGAGGGAATAGAAGAGGGAGAGGGAAAGGGAGAGGGAGAGGGTGAGGGAGAAAGAGAGGGTGAGGGTGAGGGAGAAGGAGAGAGAGGAGGGAGGGAGAGTGAAAGGGAGAGGGTGAGGAAGAGGGAGAAGAAGAGGGAGAGGGAAAGGGAGAGGGAAAAGTAGAGGTAGAGGTAGAGGTAGAGGGAGAGGGAGAGGGAGGGAGAAGGAAAGGGAGAGGGAGAGGGAGATGAAAAGGGAAAGGGAAAGGGAAAGAGAGAAAGAGAGAGAGAGAGAGAAAGAGAGGGAGAGAGAGAGAGAGAGACAGAGAGAGAGAGAGACAGAGAGAGAGAGAGAGAGAGAGAGAGAGAGAGAGACAGAGAGAGAGAGAGAGAGAGACAGAGAGAGAGAGAGAGACAGAGAGAGAGAGAGAGAGAGAGAGAGAGAGAGAGAGAGAGAGAGAGAGAGAGAGAGAGAGAGAGAGAGAGAGAGAGAGAGAGAGAGAGAGAGAGAGAAGAGGGAGACAGACAGACAGACAGATAGAGAAAGAAAGATAGAAAAACACACATATACAACTCGAAACAGCAAGAGAAGCAAAGAGAAAGTGTGAGAGAAAGAGAGAGAGAAAAGAAGTCGTTTTTCCGAAAACCACGAGAAAGTCTCAGGGAAAAGACTCTCTTGGTTTTCCCACCGCATAGCCAATGCACGCTGTCGACACGTATTGGCTTAGGAGAAGGTGACCACCGCCGCCAGAAGCCGCTTTCACGAGTTCCTTCGGCTTGTCTGCATCTCTTTCGCGTGTCGCCGCCTTTGCCTCGACGCGTCGGTTCCAGCCACGCCGTTCCCACGAGAACCGATTCGCGAGTTTTTACGGTAGAAGGCGATTAGATACACGCACACACGCTCACACACGCACATACACACACATGCACATGCACATCACACATACACACACACACACACACACACACACACACACACACACACACACACACACACACACACACACACACACACACACACACACACACTAACACACACACATACACATACATAAATACATACAAAAACGCCCCTCCAGCACACATCGTTAACTACAACGAAAGGTAGAATTCTTTATCTCTTATCGATGCAACAGGAAATTAATTATAAGGTATCTGTAACTGAAACCCAACCATTAACTAATGCATTTGCTCAGTATGTGATTACCGGCTTAATGAGCGTTACCTCATATGCAAATATTCAACCGCTGAGTATTCGAAGCAAAACCAAGATCTCGGTATTTGTGTTTTGGTAAATCGAACTAACAGACGCAAATATGCAAATGCGATTTATTGAACTTTTATACAAATATTTTATCAACTCGTGGAAAATGCGAGGATGTAGAAATATACAAAATAATATAATAAAAACATGCAAATATATCTTTATTGCATAGAAATCTTGCTTGATACTTAAATGAAATATATCAGATCAAAATTGAAATTGACGTCAAAATTTATATTAGCCCCCCTCAAAGAAAAAAGTCTCCCTGTAATAGTATTGCAAGTATAAGTCCAAGACAAAACTGCATTTCTCCCAACAATAATATGCCAAAATTCCCGGTAGCTTCTTACAAGTCAAGCACAAGCATCCTCTTTGCCTGACGGGCGACGACTGCCTTCGACGTGCATGACACCGCGGCCGCTGGAGGGGAACTCGCGGCGAGGGAACTGGGCTGTTGCCGGGCGGAGGAGTCGGATCCTGACGGGAACATATGAATCACGGCACCACCCCCCTCCTCCCCACCTGGCCTGAATACCCCCTCCCGCGACTGCACTCACCTTCACCTGCAACCCCAGTTAGGAGTTCGAGGTGAGTGTGCGCATTCAAATGAGGACGAAAATGGACAGGAGGACAGGAAGGAAGAAGGAAAGAAAGAGAAACATAATAATATTAATGATAATAACAATAATAATAGTAATAATAATGATGATGATGATGATAACAACAACAACAATAATAATAATAATCATCATCATTATCATAAAACTGTTGATTTTGTTGAGGTTAATGAACGTATCTCTTATTTCGTTTATCATATATGGTTATCGAACGTTTGTATTTTTAACGCTGTGATAGATATACATGCAGAATAACGATGCATTCTAAGTCTATTAAATAACATTCCCCTCATTTGATAAAAGAGCGAAAATATACAGCAAGCCCTGCTCACAAAGTTCGCATCCAATCTTAAAAAGCGCGCACGGCATTCGCTCAAACCCCACGGCATCATGTTACGATCACTCCTGGACAGCAATATACAACACGCCTGGGAACACAATCCCCAAGCATCTCACGACAAAGACATCGCGCATAAAATTCAATATTAAGGAAAAAATAATAATTTTGAGAGCCTCCCGTGCTTATGCAGATGACGAAGAGGTAGGAACTCCTGTCGCCAGGCGAAGCGCCCCCTCGCCGCCTAACGGGTCGCTGCGGCGCCGGGTGACAGACGGAAGTGCTGGCCGGCGGCGGCGGAGCGGGCCTGTGAGGGCGCGCGGAGGGGGTGGGGTGGGGGGGTAGGGAGGAAGATAGATAGGTAGATGGAATGATAGGCAGATACATAGACAGAGAGACAAACAGGGAGATAGGTAGATAGACAAATAGTTAGATAGATAGATAGTAGTATATATGGATAGCTAGATAGATATATAGGTAGGTAGGTATATAAACAGACAGAGACGAGTAGACAAATGGATAGATAGATAAATCGATAGATAGACAGATAAATAGATAAATGGATAGAAAGGCAAATGTATAAACAATGAGGTAAATAGATAGATAGATGAAATAGATCGATAAATACAGATCATTACGGGACCATTTTACCATGTGACTTAGGTCTTTCCTACAGGACATTCTTACTGCAGGTTTATTTTTCGTGCAGACAACAACGAATCTCATTTTTCTTTTACTCCTGTTGCTTATCTTCTCAAGAAAGTAGTCTCTGAAAACAGGTAAGAAACCCGGGCTATCAGAACTCGGTTTAGTTATGGGTTTCAGTCTTCGCTCAGCTGACGACATCGAAGGTCTTCTGTTCGGATGACTTTTGAGCTTGACAGCCTTTGTGATGAACGATTATTTTGCGAGAGTGGAAGGAACTCTTCGGTTGCAATGATTGCTGGAGAAGGGACAGCTATAACAGTTTCTTGCTCGACTGTGCAACGTGTGCGTATGCGTTTGCTCGTGGGGAAGGGGTGTGTGTGGTGGGGAGATGGTGTGTGTGTGTGTGTGTGTGTGTGTGTGTGTGTGTGTGTGTGTGTGTGTGTGTGTGTGTGTGTGTGTGTGTGTGTGTGTGTGTGTGTGTGTGTGTGTGTGTGCGTGTTCGTATTTTTTCACCAACTCCACAAGGTAAATATACAGCAATCTCCTTGTACTTTCCTGGTAAGAGATTTCAACACAGGCGACGCTGAACTTGAAAAAAATTGTCTTCTACTTTTTCCGACTTAGCATAATGGTTAAGCTCTTTTCTGTTCTCATTAATGATAACTACGAATAAGTATACTAATAAAGTTATAACACCCATAACATGATCCATAATAGCTAATCTAACGCTGCCATATTTAGGCTAAATATGCTCACCCGCGGTCTAAACTCCAGTCAAGCATTTCTCGAACTCCACTTGGCACACCCACGCTAAACAACCCGTAATGAAGCGTTTCGAAGGTTCAGTTATGGGAAAGCACTCCTCTCCGTGACTAAATGACACCGAGGAAGCGGCGAGGCTGTGTCAATAGGAACTAAGTATTTGCCAACATGGCCATTTGCTTCACTGGCGACACTATAAGATTGAAGAGCCCCCGAGGATGTACTTCAGTGTTGTAAGGTAAGAGATAAGAGCCACAGAGATAATGATAATAACCAATATGTTCAGGGCGCTTACAAGAATGAAGCGAAGAGGCATGAAGGCGGCATCCCACTGGGAATGGCGCCGCACACGCACGGCTGGAGACTAGCGGAGGAGAAGGAGGCGAAGGCGGAGGAGGAGGAAGAGGAGGAAGAGGAGGAGGAAGAGGAGGAGGAGGAGGAACAGGAGGAGGAACAGGAGGAGGAGGAGGAGGAACAAGAGGAGGAATAGGAGGAGGAGGAGGAGGAATAGGAGAAGGAGGAGGAAGAATAGGAGGAGGAGGAACAGGAGGCGGCGGCGTCGGCGGCTTCGCTCGCCATCTCCGAAGCTAACGGAAGCCTCACGACCGCCGGAAGACCCCGTCGCCTCCGTCACTATCATTCCACTGCTAATGGTGGAAGATTGAAAGGGCGCTGCGTCTGCTAATCGACGTGGGGTCCTCAGGGAGGGAATCTATTCTTGTACCGGGTTTCTTTTTAAACGCCATGAGAATACTTTTCTCTTTGTAAGTGATCGAGGTATTGAAGAACCGTATGCTCAGTCTTCCAGTAAGCTTTACGTCGCTTTATCTCGTGGCACCAAAAGCATCTACCACACTAATCTACTAGAACGCTGCAGGTGACCACGGCGTCGGGTCATCCGAGTAAACATTCTAGAAGTCGGCGAGTTATTGCAGGATAATGTTATCCTCTCTGAGCGCCCATTGCCCGATGCTGAAGGAATCCCAGGACTAGCATGCTATCTTCGGTCGACGATATGAATGCAGAAAAGAAGAGAAGAAGAAAGTAAGGAGTAATGATGGGAGGGATTGAAGGAGAAAAATATGTATTAAATGGAGATTAGCAAAACAAACACTTGGACTGTGGTCTGACAAGTCTTGTACACCTGGCGCCAAGGCGTTAACCACTTGGCGTCGGGTGCCAGATGGCGGAGTCACCCAATCATCAGGGGACTGTGGGTGTACCTTCTGGCCTACATGGGAAGTCTTGGAAACATGACTTGGTAAAATGTGGCATGCTGGAGCGCCGTTACAAAGGACAGCATGCTTATTGTTAAATGTATTGTTCACGTTCATATCACGGAAGTGTTAAAAATACAAAGCGGACAAGGGGCAGGATATTTTGGTCGGTTTTCAATATAAGATTCTCAGAGTAGTCAAGAGAATGCTGAATTAAAAACCAGTTAGCAATATTACTATAATCAGCTCCGATTATATGCTGCCAGAGTCTTCCATCTCTGTCTTGTGGGGTGCGAAGTGAAGGGTCGTTCATAGTGAGGAAGAAACAACAGCCGGTGACCTGATTAGCTGGTGTTAATATGCGGCCAAGAGCACACCCGCCGCCCCGAGCCACACTGATACGCGCTGGGACGGAGGGATTAGACTGAAGCCATTGTTATATTCTCTGTGTTTCGGGCACCAACGCTGCCTGTATCTCCGTCTGTTCACACACATGTCTCTGTGAACGTACCGGCATCCCCCCGCGCTTCCTAAGCTGAGCACCCTGCGCCGCGTATATCTTGGCCCTAATGGAGGGGTGAACGCACCGCGGGGGCCGGGAGGGACGCGTACTAATTACGTATTCTGGTGGCGGTTCCAAAGCGCTCTTGGCCCTCCCTCCCATCCCCTGCCACCTGTGCGGGGCTGCGGGTGCTGTCCTGCGCTGCTCGCTGGCCTCCCCGCCGCTTGCGCCTACACACGCTGTGGCGCACACAACCGCACGGTCGCAAATAATAAACGGTTCAGGGGGAGAAATGTAAAATAACCATATTAGTGGCCTTTCCCCGCCATCAGGGCTCAAGAAGCTGTGGCAACGACGCGCCGTCACACGTGCCTTGCCTGGATGTAAACAGGGCGCTTATTCTGGATAAAAGGCCTCTTAATCATGGGCGGGGACTGCTGGCGGCTTCAATCTCGATGTGCATGTAGCTTTGCCTTTAGGTTTTACGACTGCACATAACTCCGGCTAAAAGCCCACTTGGACTCAGGAATGAAAGGACTGTCTGCTTTACAACTTTGGCGATAAAAGGAAACCTGTATAAAGTAAGAATCATACATATTTATATCACACACACACATGCACACACACACACACACACACACACACAAACACACACAAACACACATACACACACACACGCACGCACACACACACACACACACACACACACACACACACACACACACACACACACACACACACACACACACACACACACACACACACACATATATATATGGCACAGAATACATTCACTGACTGGTAAGGATTTACTTTTCATATCTCTCTCCCTCTATCTATCTATCTATCTATCTATCCGTCTATCTAATTTATTTTGCTTGTATGTGTATCTAAATCATTTTGTTCCTTTTCTGCTACTGAGCGATAAGTCCCCCGAACCAGCCTTCCCACGCCCTTCCCCAGCCCTGAAGCCGCTCATCTACCCGACGACCCCCTCCCCCAGTTCGTGGGCGAGGGCGGTGGGATCTCCCCTTCCTCACGCAACGCCCGAGCGCCCTTAGGGATGCTGGTCGGTCGCTGGCGCTGCATCTCACTCCTTGGGATCAGGATTGGAATCCCCGTGAGTGAAATCTCGTTGGGGAAGACTCCTTTAAATAAAATCCCTTTTAAAGAGAATCCCTTCGGGTGAAGTATTCTTGTATATGGAATCATCTAAATAAAATCCCTTAAATGAAATTCCCTTATAGATGAAATCCACTAGATGAAATCCTTCAAACGAAACCCCTTTGAGTGAAATTCCTCGAAAAGAAATCCTTTGAATGCAATCCCCGTGACCGCCGCGTGCCCCCGAGCGCAGACCGCCGGCAGGAGAAGAGTGAGAGCGCCATCAACGGAGCTCGACATCTGTAATAGCACTCTCTTCCCTCGTCAGCCAGAGACGTTGGCTCGCCTCGCGTGAGTAATCTGAGGTGAAATCCATCATTTCTTCGGCGTTTGCTGCAATCATCTGAATGGAAGAACCGGCGGTGCTGATGCGGCGTTTCGATGCTCATTTGTTCTCTTGCTTCCACTCTCTCTTTGTCTTGGTATTTTTTCTGATTTTCTTTTTTAAACTTTTACTAACATTTTTCTGTTTCTTTCTCCTATCTATTGGTCATAATCTGTTTTCTCTCTTTCATTCTACACAGATCTGTCTCTGATTGTGTCTACCTTTCTTCCCCCCTCAACCCATCCCCTCACCACACGTCCTCATTTGTCCCTTATAGCCTGAAGGAGGACGTAAGAACCAGGAAATCAGTGCCATGGCATTTGCACCCCTGGGCTAGGAAGTTTACATACACATGCATGCATACTGTACATACAAACATAAATACATAAGAAGAGCGTGCATACATACACACACACATACATACAGAAGTATATTCATACATGCACACACACACACACACACACACACACACACACACACACACACACACACACACACACACACACACACACACACACACACACACACACACACACACACACATATGTGGATGGATGCTAGTATGTTGAGTGTGTTTAATACCTGTGTGATTATCCCTGGCAAGTGAAGCAGGTCCAAGAGCTGATATTTAACTTGGAGTGTATTGCTGTCTCTTTTCTTTTTCCTTTTTCTTTTTACTCCTCGTAGTGACGACCCAAAAACATTTGTCCAGTAAAAATATCTGACATTTTGAAAAGAACCATACGTGGATAATACACACTCAGTCTGTCTCTCTCGATCGAAACTGTCAGTCAATTATGTAGGGGGAGGAAGGGGGAGATGAAGGGATGGGGGGAGGGGGTGTAAAGAAGGAGAGGGGGAGAAGGGCAACGGGAGGAGAGGGGAAGGAGCGAATAGAGAGGGAAAGGGAGGGAGGGAGAAGGGGAAAGGGGAGGAGATAGAGGGGAAGGGGTAAGCGGAGAGGGGTAAAGGAGGGTAGAGAGGAGGAAGGGAGAAAGGGCAGGGGAGAAGGGGAGAGGGTGCAGGGGCAGAGGAGGCTAGAGAGGGAAAAGGGAGGGGGAAAGGGAGAAGGGGAGAGGAAGAGAAGGAGGGAGGAGAGGGAGATAGTGGCATGTGGTCATTAGCAACACGAGACAACCACGGGTTTCGGGAGAGACGTTGCCAATCATACTCGCCGCTCCCTGCAGGCTACGAACGCCCATCTCCGTGTACAAGCGTTTCGTCTCCCTGCCGCCGGAGCCATCACTGGG